TTGGCATCAACAGATGATAAAACCTCAAAAATATAACTTGTACTGAAAACAAGTTGAATGTTCAGATACAGAACGCAAAGACCTGATCTGATAGATCTCACCCAAGAAGTAGCAGAGAACAGAAACAACTTCAGCTGGCACTGCTTGTATTTCATAAAGCTCTCTTTAACCTTCACTTTCTCAACCATCTTTTAACTATGCTTTCTTGCATGCCAGAATGTGCATAACAATTAACCACTTGACTTTCACCTCCTATCTGCAAACATAACCTCTCAAGTCACAGATGCCATAGCAAGTCTTCTCAAAGAAATAATTGTAGTGGCTTTAAATACAGAATTTCCCATTTCTAATTGAATTTTGTTGCTAAGGGAATAAGAAGCCTTTAAAATATTTTTATAAGAAAAGGTAGGAAAGTTTGTTAAATTAACAATTTTTTTTCTACATACTTTATGTATTCTTTGGAGAAATATGCACTTAAAATACAAGAAGAAAATCTTACAACATGAACTTATTTTTTTATTTGCTACACACCACAGCAAAGAGTAAAGATACAAACCCAAATTGTTTTAAATAAACAGGTTGCCAAGAAACATTTTAATTCCACATTTACTGGTTCAATAGACTACTGAAGAAAACCACGCAAAATACAACTATCCCTGTAACATAAACCTGATGATTATTCTGTGTCCTGTTCAAAATAATTATACACCTGGTTCATCTGCAAGGGGACAAAGGACTTCATCACTAAACTGCCATAACAAATAAGAACTTGTAAGAGATGACTAGATGGCTGAAGACTACTACAAAACCACCGCTGTTTCTAGAAGCAGTTCTTTGCAAAGACGAGCAGAAGAAACCCACTCTTGGCTTTTTTTTAATAGGTAGCAATTCTAGAGTTTGTAGATTTCAAGCATTTCTGTTTGAAATCCTGCCTTAAGAGCAGAGATGTTGTATTTAATCAAAACTTAGCTACCATCATGCACAATACCCAATTGTGACCAAGTATTTAAATGGAAAAAATATACATCTAATCTCATACTTTGTAACCCGTGTTGACTTGACTTCTGACTTCAAAGAGGCATCCTAGTTTTTCCTTAAGGAGTATTTGGTGACCTCTGTCTTTCATTACTATGAATAACACAGGAGTTATGAAATACAGAGACTTTCTATTAAGTTAAAGTAGCAAGGTGAAAATCTGCAGCAGTGAAAACAACAGGCCACCGTAGCCCCATGTGAGACAGTATTTCACTGCATGCATTGTCCTCAAATTTCCTCCACTGCTCTTAAACAGGGTAATGTGAAAAAAAGGATGATGTTCCACTACACCACTATGATGCTAAACAAAGCAACTCACTTTCTCCACAAAATGGTAGTTCTCTCTCCTCACCTCTTTCTTAACATAATGGAGTGCTCACTCTGACCTTTTTAAATGCTGTTCCTTTCTCGTACCTTCCAGAAGTTATTCAGCTTTCAACTATGACAGAATGGCTAAGCGTGGAAGGGACCTCTGAAGGTCACCTGGTCCTCTCCTCCTGCTCAAGCAGGGGCACCTAGAGCCAGCTGCCCAGGAGGATGTCCAGATGGCTTTTGAGTATCCTCAAGGAAGGAGACTCCACAGTCTCTCTAGGCAAACTGTCCCAGTACTCAGTCACCCTCACAGTAAAAAAGTGTTTCCTGATGTTCAGAGGAAGCCCCCCAAATTTCAGGTTGTGCCCATTGCCTCTGGTCCTCTCAGTGGACATAAGTTAAAATACATGAAATCCTATCTGAATATAAAAAAAAAATGCTTTTATACTGTGAGGGTCATCAAACACTAGAGCAGGTTGCCCAGAGACATTGCAGTTTCCATCCTTACAGATACTCAAAACTCAACTGGACACAGCCCTGTGAAAATTGCTCTAGTTGATTCTGCTTGAGCAGGGGGTGGACTAGATGATTTCAATAGGTCCTTCCCAGCTGAAATGCTGGGGTTTGAACCCCAAGCCCCAAATTCAGGTTGACATATGGGTGATTCCCACAGCCCTTCATAAAGAGGGGGTGAGTTTGCCTTATAGCTTCCCCCCAGGGTGCGGCCGGCCCTGCAGGGAGAGCCAGAAGGGAAATGAGCCCCAGGGGTCCTGCATTGAGTTGACAAAGGTCAGGTGTCTGCTTGGGGATAAAAGCTGGGACCACTGGCAGGGAGTCAGGAGTGTCTGTCTGTGGAGTGCACTCCACAGAGCTTCCTGGTTCAGGGCAGACCTCCTGACTCTCCCTGGAGCTGAGCCCCAGTCCGTTTAGACCTTTGTGAACGCGGGCAGATCGGGTGAGAGTCGCCATGTGGGCACCTTTCTCTTATGTATTTAACTGGCTGGTCTGGCTGTTTCCCATGCCAACTGTGGGCAACCTCGGGTCTCTGTTTGTACCGCCTGTTGTGGGCTGAGTCACATCTTTTGTGGGATCATTGGGGGTGGTGGTGTTTATGTACCAGCTGATTAACTTGTTTGTATCCCCAGCGACCATTCGTGGAATGTCTTTCTTGTACACAATACAGTCTGTGTATTGGTTCATCTTCCTCCTGGTGCTATTATTTTTGTTGGGGCTGGTCATTGGCAAAACACCAGCCTAAAGGACTCTGTGATTTCATATCAGCTGCTGTAAAACACATATAGCACTTTCACTAGCTCTTTAACAAAGCAGCAAACTGCAAATTCAATCAAGCCAGCCAAAGAAGGTGTGAGAACGTGAATGTAAGTTTCAGTAAAACAAAGGGAGAAGAAAGCCCATGGCGCTTCTTTTACTGAAAAACAGACCGATGGGAGATTTTCACCAAAGTCTCTTCCTACATAATTTCCCCAAAATTTATGGTAAGCTACATGGTTTTAAACTTGCTCTTTAATATTAGATGTTGAAGAAATTTGAAACTTTACCTTTTGAATCTCAAAGGCAGTTGAGGTAACATTCTAGGACTTCCACCCTCATCTACAATGCTAATAAATAATTGAAGTTTGATTCCTTAGGCAAGACCAAAAGTTTTACTTTCTAGCTCTTCAGAAGAATTAAAATTGCCCTAATGAGGACTCTGAATTTCTGATTCTCTGAGCAAGAGCAGCAACAGAAAAATCCAGTTCAGAAACCAGACATGAATTACAGAATTAATAGACTTGAGTGGTTCAGTATCAGGACTAACAAAATTTCAAACTCTGAAATCCAGTTCAGAGTCCTATAGAAACGAACATCATATTTGCACACTGAGTTACTGGCACACTTGCATAAGTGGTGACTAAAGGAATACAGAGTGTGCTGTAAACAGTTCAAATCCAAGTATGTATAACTTAGGATAAAAACCAGCACTTCAATCTCAGGAACTGAACAACAGAATCCTCTTTAATACTCTAGTTTTCAGACAACAGTCAGAGAAGTTGTCAGCTTTAACCTTAAAACTGAGATGGGCTAAGAAACATCTCGAAGACTCCAGTCATTCATGCAATGGGTAGACAGCCTCTTACAAGTCTGGCTGCATAATCTGGGAATGCCACAATTCTCACAAATCTAATCAGCAGGCCTGTACGAACTCTGCAGTTTGCTTCAGGGTAAGTCCAGCTGGTTCCTATGTGCCTTCATAGAATGGTTCGGGTTGGAAGGGACCTTAAAGATCGTATAGTTCCAATCCCCTGCCATGGACATGGACACCTCCCACTGGACCAGACTGTGCAAGGCCCTATCCCACCTGACCTTGAACACATCCAGTGATGAAGCATCCACAACTTCCATGTCTGTTCAAGGGTCTCACCACCCTTATAATAAAGAACTTCTTTCCATCTCATCTCAATCTACCCTCTTCCAGTTTGAACCCATTACCCCATATCCTGTCACGACAAGCCCTTGGAAAAAGCCTCTCCCCAGCTTTCTTGTAGGCCCCCTTCAGATACTGGAAGGCCACAAGGTCTCCCTAGAGCCTTCTTTTCATCAGATACGACTTAAGCAAGGTTATACCACCTGTGAAGCTGCTTACTGAGCCCTCTCCATCTTTGCAGGCAGTGAAACTCTCAGAGCAGTCACTGTCCGAGGGGACAAAACAAATAGCTGAGGGACAGTAACAAGCATCTTAATTTAGTAGTCCAACAGTTAACCTGAACAGGCACGTGATTTGTCTTATTCCTATTATTGGTTTCAAAGTAATAAGCTAACGATATATAAGGCTATCTAGACATATTTAACAAAATCAGAAAGAATTCTCACAAAAATCTACTTAGGAAAATGAAAAATATTCCCAAAAACTTTGATACCATATGAATATTTTTACGTTTAAAAATAGGAAGGAACAAAAATGATCATCCAGTTTGACATAACACATCATAAAAGGGCAATTTTTGCAGGACAAATTATCAGAACGTAATCATTTCGGTCTACATAATATACTGATGCAGCCAAACATTTAATCAACTGTGCTGGAGTGAAAAAAAAAAGGAGAGAAAAAAAAAAAGAAATCACAAAAAAACCCACAAAACTCCAAACTAAGGGCAATCCTCTCATGTGGAACTCTCACATGAATGTAGTTGCACCACCCTAAAATATCCTCCACAAGAATATAAAGAAATTGCCATTGCTATGATAAAGCAAGGAAATTTTCTTTAAATAAATGAGAGATAGTCATAGATAAACCTGATCTCTATCACTGATAAAACATTTTAGCCAAAGCTATTTTCTTACCAGGAAAAAGATACATGAGAACAACAGTTTCCTAAAGCACTGGGAACACTACTGGCATCCACCGCCTTTTTCCCCTATAAACTCCTAAAAAAAAAAGTTTCTGATGCTTTTACATGACAGTACAAAGAAACGTCACCAAAAGAAATTCCCAAGAATAATGTAAGATTCAAAATTACTGCCAAAATACTTTACCAAAATAAGTTAATTAAAACTGGGAAATCACCAGTTAAAAGATGCCAGTACAATAACATAAGTCATGCTTAACAGGAACTGAAGACACTACATAACAGAAGATTAAACACATCACTTACTGCTTTGACTCGTGGTGACAAACCTCCAGGGTTGGATCGTTGTAGATGAAAGCTGCTTCTAAATCGTTGACTCTTACTCTGTAAATCCGGCACTGTTTACTGTTCAGTTTGATTCTATTCAGGTTTGCAACTGTGGGAAATATTGTCAGTTCCACATAACCCTATGAAAACACAAACCAAAACCTTCTATAAAATCTTTATCAACTCACAAAGTAGAGATATTAAAAAAAAATATCAATGCATTTCAAAGGAAAATTGCAGGTTAAATAATGCTAATTTTTTATTTAAAAAGGACATTGGTTTGCTCTTTAGGTGTCTAGAATATATTTTCTTTCGTAATATTTAAGAGGTGAATTTTACCATCTGTGAAATAAAACCAAAATGCTTCAACATGACCGACAACCATGCTTGTTTTACTGGAAATTATCTGCTTCTGCTGAGCAGAATTAATGTTACTAGCATCACTATGCTTCAGGCTGTGGTATCTGAGCTTAGGACAATCTTTTAAAACCTAAGCAGAATCTGTTTAGGCAGATATCTAAATTCACAAAAAGTCTCAATGACTTCAGGCCTCTTCAAAGCCCCAGTGCACTCACATATAAGCTAGAAAATCCTAAAACCCTATCCCTAACCTCAGCTAACACTATGTTGCTCATCAATTTTAAATTGCACGTTGCTCTATAATATTATTTACAGTGCAGTGACCCTCTTTTAGAAAGCTTTTCCTTACAGAGATTTTAGTGTTCAGTCAGAAGGTATTTTATTTGCTGCATCTCAAGGAATGACCAACTTATGAGTCATCAGACCAGAAACTATAAAACATAAATTAGCTGAACAACACAATTAGCTTGTGTGTGCAGTTGTTTCCTCTAAAGACATGAAAAATACCCAGACTTTTAATTTCTACTTCCACACTTTATTTAAAAATACTTACTACAACAGACTTTCTCTGAAAGTTTATGTTGTTGATACAAACTACCTGGTGAGTTGTGCTGGGGAAAAAAAAAAAAAAAAAAAGTAAGGTTTTGCACAAATGCAGCATTTAAAATAATTTTTTAACCCAGTTTTAAAAATATAAAGCTTATAGAAGATCTATGTACATATAGATAAAAACTGCCTATAGCATATACTTCTATAAGAAGAATTCCTGATGGTCTTAATCTCTTACATGGTTCAAAACAAATAATGAATAGAAGTTGCATGCAAGATCAGAAACGTTCCAATAAAACAAAATATAGTATCATATCAGTATGAATACTACCAGTAACACAGGAAGATGACAAAATCACTTTTGAAGATCATGTAACAGTATGTAAAAATATCGTATTGCTAAAGGCATGGACTCCAGTTCTCACACTTTAGTGATGCGCAGCATTAGGAACAGCACGCAGCCACAATACTTGCAGAGCCCTGTGTAAAACTCACTCTCATACATCATTTATCTATTCAGGTACTATACATGAAAATAGGTATAGTATGTGTTTTTACAATTAGTATGTCATAAGAATTTATTTTTTTAAGTAATGGTTACATATTAATCAAGATAGGCATTTTAAACAAGTCAACTGTGTTTGCTTAAATTTTGAATGACTTATTAGAACTTCTTGTAAAAAACTCTCTGATTTAAAAAATGAAAGGCAAAAGAATAATTTCAACTTTTTTAAAACTCTAGCAAGTTATTTTTATAAATTTTCTGTAGTAGCTGGCATCTTCACTGCACTTCATCACTCAAGATACAACCTTGTAGTTCAGCTTTTATGCCACATCCCACATATGTACATACTCATGTACCCTGTGCATTAAAAAGTGACTGCTTCAGTTGAGCAAGTTCAATAAAAAAAAACCTGTAAGAGAATAACATCTAGTATCCAATGACAGATCCAAACATTACCTACACATTAAAACATATATAATACAAGAACAATTCTATTCAGAAATACAATTGTTACAGATTTTATAAAGAAATTAAGGAAGTATAAACAAATACAGAGCTCCTCTGAAATCAACAACTGCTTTACAGCAGTTTTTGGTTACAACCAAAGTAACGAATATAGAAATGACCATTTGCTTAACTAAGCTGCTTGCTGCAAATGCAAGCATTTTTTTATATGTAAGAAAGCCCTGAAGTCAAAAGGGTTTGATACGGTTGTGAGAATGAAACATGGTAGCACGGCCTGTAGTGCTGATATGGTGTGGAGAGATCTCCAAGGTTTGAAGACCACAGTGTAAATATCTTTGTAAGATGGGACCGCTCACTGTCCATGAGTGAGTACCTTTATGCACTAAAACACGCAGCTATGACACATGCTTTTGGAATGCAAGCTACACAAGTAGCAGTTCCAACCATCTCAGGTAAATAATTATTGATCAGCCTGTGGCCTGCTTCAAATGTGCACCGTTCTCAAGTATAGCAACTTCAAACAAAAAACGGATACTTATAATTTATATGGTCTTGGGCTCTCAAATCCTTTGTCTCCTTTCTTCCTGTTCATCCTGAACAGCAGCACTAAACACACACTGCTGACTGTCAGACTGGCATCAACATCATCCTCGCTTCGCGCGTCCTTTGATTTTTCCTCGTCTCAGGCCGTGTTTGACTACTCATCTCCCCAGTGGACCCGTGACTCCCAGCAGTCGGGCATCTTCAGCTCGAACGAGCACCGTAGTTATAGCACAAACAGCATTCAGTCTTTCCACACACCCTTGTACGCGCGCAGCACACAAGCCCTCTCTCCACCGGGGGCACGGTACCAGTTCAGAGGCGCTGCCCGCTTCCGCTCCGCAGAAGCCCTGGCAATCAGCAGGCTCGACGGGCAGCGGAGGCGGGGACTACTGAAGCAGGAAGGCCGCGCACGGCCGAGGGATCCCCGCTGCCCCGGCAGCGGCTTGGAGCAGCACGCCCCGCTGACAAGCGGAGCGAGAGATCCGGGGGAGCGCAGGCAGCGCCGCACAGCCCCCG